TGCTTTTTAAGCGGATTTCTATCACAATGTCATTCGCCTATTGGGTCTGATGATGATTGGATTGTCCAATCGAAATCGATCACCACTTACCATCTTTTTTGTATCCGTCTTGTGAGTAACAGTATAAGCGTAAATATATGTTTTAAGTGTTATAAGACGTCTCTTTAATTTAATCTCCGATCACAATTCCCACAAAACATATTTTACACCTAGCATGTGCTTCATAACATGAATTATCAACATACATTTTCACAAGCAAATCTTCTCACCTCCACAATACACCATAATTCTAAACCATATGTTTGCAACCCAATACGGTGCTTGTAGCGATATTCCCGATCACAATGCAACTACAGTAACAACACAGGCGATTCTGGTCAACCAAGACGACTACAGTACTTGCCTGATCGACGGTCTGGTTTATAGCCAGCTTTCTCTGTACTCCATGTACGGCAACTTGCGTCTGTACTCTGTGTACTCGGTTGTTGAACGCGCCAGATTTATGGAGGGAAACCGCGCGGAGCATACCGTCAACGTGGCATATGGTGTTGTTTTGTAATTAATAAAGGTTAGGCGATGCGTTCTCAAGATGAAAGTTTTATGTTTCGAAATGCAAAGTTTTAGCCACGATTGGTTGAGCTTATTTGAAAACAATAAGACATTAATATTCATCGCAATGTGTAGTGTAATTTTCACATCCACAATAAAAAAATACTTTGCTTGAAGCTACATATACAGTGCTTCCTATTACCTTCAATTTTGAAAATATATTAGTTTTATGCGTGACTGTAATTTGGCTGGACATTTAAACAGCGAGAAAAAGTTGAAATTTTGGATCTTATTCGCTTAAATAAACTAGTTATGAAAAAATCACATATTTGAGAGTTTTTTTTTTTTTTTTTTTTTTTACTTTACTTAGCATTAATTTAATGGTGGATACGTGTAATTATTGAAAATGGTAATCTATGAAGTGTTAGTGTGACTTTAAACACTTGTAAAAATATACACACATATCCCCATACTGTACTCAACTAAATATCACCTACACGAAACTACGTTTTAGAGACTGTATTCCCATAAAAATGCAATTACAAACTTAATTAACCGTTATCTTATTAATTTTGTACAAAATCCAAAGTCCACGAATGTGAATTTTCCTAGTCTCTACTCAATGCCCACCAACGGCGTTCCGAAGCGCGGGACCCAAAACTCATTAGCCCTTCCATTCCCGCGGACAGCGCCCGCCTGATTGGTTTTGACGGTAAAAACTGGCGGGAGATCTGGCAGACAAGCGGTTCTAACTGGGATTCAAAATATTAATTGGATTTTTAATTCACGGGCTGAAACCTTAAATGTATAATCTACTGGGTTAAGCGTGTAAAAATATGCAACATGTTTATAGACACCCGCAGCGTGAAAAAACATTGCATTTTATTAATCCTCGATTATTGTTCGCAAGAAAGCTTTACTGACTAAGATCAGCTGTTTTTCAAGTCATAAAAACAGCTGATCAATCAATTGCGCGTCCAACAGTTATTACTTCACGTGCTTCCAAGAATCTTGTTAATCAGTTTGCACTAAAAATTAAAACCCCTCCTAGTGAATGGTATACAGTATACAAATGATACGCTGTAAAGGTCAGCAGGCCTGGACGCTATATTTGGTTAAATAGGTTAGGAACGACGGAGAAATCACCAACAGATGGCAACAATCCACATCAGCTGATTGTATAATGTCACGTGATTACTGTATTCTACACAGTGTCTAGATGTTAACGGTGAGTCGTGCGCACGTTATGATGACGTCATTGGAGCGTAAAGTGGGATGCAACGTGTTCTTCGCCACTAAACAATTTGATAAAGCAGAAATAATCATATGATGTCATGGGGTTAATTGTGTACATCGAGTAGGGATGAGTATGAGGAGAATTTGAATTAACCTATTATTTACAACTAAATAATAAACCAATGTTTTTGGGAAGACAATGAACAGCAAATTATTAAAACTGATGTTTTGAACAACGATATATGAATTACCAATCAACTGATACTAAATACCATCGTAAACTATTTTGATGCCAATTGACAAAAACCCCCTATTGAGAACAATTGCAATAGTCACATCCTTCTAAAAATTTTCCTTCATTGAATACCAAATATATTGTATACCAATTGAATTACAAATTTTTACATCAGTCGGTATGACGAGGACACCATAGAATCCGGAACATACTTTATAAATTATACTGTATGATCGCCATTTCAATGGAAAGTATTAAAAGTTTAAAAGCTTAGAATATTTATTTTTGGTGTAATTATGTTGTGTGACGAAAAGTTGTGTTTTTGTTAAAAGTGAATTCCTTATCCAGAACCCGCAAAAAAATCCAAACTAAATTCCTACCCCCAAATTCAGTTTTGGACAAAGCCAGGATAAATCACATTTACAAAATCCAATTTCAAACGTCCCGGGGCCTCTAATATTTCAACTTTACGAGACAGCCAGGCGCAGAAGGAATGACTCGGAAATTCTTCAGAGGCGGGACAGCTGCTGGCCAACTGGTGAAAAACACCCAATGATCCATGCAACAAAGGCCCCCGCAGCTCCTTTCGTCCTACAATAGCCATAGAGCATAGAGTAACAAAACGCGCACCGTCCCTGGGCTTTCATACTCTTTGTCTAGCATCCGGTCAGTTGTACATAGCCTGTAGCTTCTTCTTCTTCATCAATCAGAGTCTTGTTGTCTTGTTTATGTCAACTAAGACAATGTGCGTATATTGTACGTACATACGTAGACGTAGACACAGAATTAAGTGGCAATCTCTTTTGTTTGTCACAGTAGCAGCTAGTGCATGTCAGTTGTACCATGTTGTACCTATTTACAACATGTATTGTTTATTTGACCGTATCTCTAGCACCTATTTTAGAGATTCTCGTCTTAAATAAATACATTTGTAATGTTTACGTCTGTAAAACTGTACTGTCTTCAGCAGAAGACTATAGCGATGCCTCCAATTCAGGGCCATGACTTGTTTGAAAGGTTACGGTATTGCCAAAAGTATAAATGTTTTTACAGTATTAATTTTTTATTTGATTCCGTATCGTTTTATTGTGATTATCCTCCAACCAAACATCCAAAAACACCAAACACCCTATAGAAATTGGAAATTTTACAAAATAATGTGCATAGAAAAAACTACGATGAAAACATATTAGGCTAAGTACATTCTGCGCATTGTATCTAATTAAGTTCTGGCCCGTTTACCTCGAATAATAGAACAGAAATTTATGTTGTAGGCTAATATTCGTGGTTCACAAAAAATCGGGGCTCACGATAGAAAATTCTAAACTACAATGAATATACAGCATTATGGCATTACTATCATCTCAGAGTAATAAAACATAATTACCTATGTTTTATTACTCTAAGCTATCATCAATTAAAATGGTGGACAATTGAGTACCTAATTTATAGGACAATAATCTTTATATCCACGATTACACTAGTAAAAACATTAAAACTCAGATATTCAAAGCAATGTAATTATCCACAATAATTGACCTACTATAACTTAAGAGAGTTAATTACAATTTGTATTGTGAATGGTTCAAATTATGCAGTATCACAGGGAAAAAAATTATTGTACTAATGCCCCAATACAATATCTACTGTACTTTACTTTAGCACCTTGTCAAACCCTGTTAACTGAAAGAATTCGGACTGATACCTTCATTCTTTTCACAGCTGGTTGATGATTAATGGGCTATATTACAACTAAATTTTGATGGTATTTTTGGTATCATATATACATTTTTATAAATAGACAAAGCATGTTTCTTTAAAACCTTTATTCTCAGCTCGTGTGCATCGTAGGGAAAATCTACGTATACTGTTAGAAAGATATTTACACGTAGGTAGTTGTACAGAATCGCTTTATAAATTAAAATAGTCTTAAAAATAAGCACAACAAATTCATTTTAAATTAAAAAAATAACATGGGCCTTGACAGTTGCCCTGCTGGTGACGAAATAACAACGAAACTTAACAAAAAATCAAAACAAATTAAAGACATTCCAAATACATATTCCAAACACAGGTTTTATTTACAGAGTGGGATGAAATAATGAAAATAAATAAGTTATTTCGTCGAGTTTTCGACTACTGGACGACCTCTTTTTTATTTGGGCTAATTGACACCCCCCCAACGCAAGATTTGTCTATTTACAATGAATGGTTTCATAACAATTTAAATTTAAATAAGAATTTATTTGGTTAAGCATTCACTTAGAAATATGCGCTGTTACAAAATAGGGTGTAAAGAGGATAAAAAGAGATTTTTGAGGAGACACCCCCTTTCAAAGCACCGATTGCCATGATTGGATCCAGCTGTTTTGAAAACCCATTTAAATATGGCAATTAAATAATCAAAATGTAATTAAATATCAACATTCTTATCGTACATGCGGCAAGATATACACAACAACTAAGTTAGCAAGAGTGGTATTTTATTTTATGGTGGAATTTTATTTATTACAATATAGGCTACACAAATTTAGTAATTTTACTTGGTTAATTGGCTTTGAATTTAAATTACAACACATCAGTGCAAATGCATTCTTAATTAACGAATAAGCATGAAAACATTGTCAACAAACGTCAAATATGCATTATTTATTTTGTTAAAAAAAAATACAGCCCAAATTCAAACCATACAGAGTAATAAAAATATGAATGAGCAAGAAATAGGCTTAAAACGATCACATAGGCTACATATAACTAGATAAAAACTTAGCTTCATGTTGAAAACCATAACACATGTTCCTCCTAAGATTAATTTAGGTGAGTATTGTTAAAACCAATGGCTTAAAAGTCATAACAGGTTAACTACAAAGTGAGAAATTATCATTACCAGTAGAATTATAATGACAACTTCAACTTGCTTGATCAAAATAGGGAAAAGCATTAGGCCTACATAAAATTCTAACAGGTACAAATTACTTACGGTTCTCTCAGGGCGAAAAATCCCGGAACACAAGCGAAATCACAAAGTCCTTGACGTCATAAATCCCACTTTTTGAAACACGAAGCCATAACTCTACTAACACATGGTTTACGCAACTACCGTATTAGTTTATGTTAAACAGCGAAGAACGAGCGAAAATCGACCTTCCTCTATGGCGTTCTAACCTCAACTGAACTGAAACTGAACCGAACTGAAACCAAACACTGGACTGAGACGGCATCTCAGACGAAAGTAGGGGAGGGGATTCCCCCTCCACCGGTCCAGCCACTTCCCCTCCACACCTACATGTTGAACCTTTTCATCTTTCGAACCGATTCTCACAATCTCAACCTCAACGCAGCTGCTTTCTCGTCTATTTCGTGCTTCTGTATTCTGTTCTAATGGTGTATCCAGGAGGGGATTAGGGGTTCAAGCCACCCCATTGACCTTAAAACGTGATTTTTACAATAGAAACAATTTTTTTTACAATAAAAATATGTTTATTGTGTCTCTTAATAGCTTAAAACACGAGTTTATAGTTCTAATTTTCATATATTTTTGAACCCTCCCCCCCCCCCCCAACTGGAGGAATCCCCAGGACCCCCGGTGTAACCCCCACCCTTTACGGTCATCTTAGAAACGCCTACGGCTTTAACTATACTGGTTGTAACAAAAAATGTGTTATATTATTTTAACAAAATATTACAGTATTGTAAAATACGTATCCGTTTTTATCAATGAACAAATTTACCAAGAAATACCTGAAATAAATATTTTGGCTGTAAGAGTAACTACAGTCCTGTAATTGTAAGAGTACTAAGTACAGCCCTTTATCGAACTGTAAATCTATCAAGTGCATATTCCTGTTATGCAAAGAAACGATTTACAAATCGATTATCGATGGCAGACTACTTTACTGCTTGGCACTGGCTGATTATTCTTCTACCAAAAGTTCATTCAGAAGTTCTGAAGTTCATTGGCTGAGTAAGAACTTCATAAAAAAATAAACAAAAATACCAATACCTTAAAAACCAAACTTGACCGAAACTATCTGTTGATAAGCCAATGATAAACTACTGATAATCAGTAATTGATGCGTCATAATGTTTGGTAAACGTCACATATGTTCAGAAAATAATTATTACGTACAAACAAATGACGCCAGTACTATCGCAATGTTTACATGTAAACAGCTGTTCTGAACATGTGTTTCTTGACGTAATTGTCGTACTCTGTGATCAATACTAGGGCTTTAATTAGTGTAATTAATTGGAGTAATTGTGAACAATTAATTTTGGTGTTTTAAGAGACTAATTTAAGTCGGCGAGCTTTATATAAAGTTTTGTGAATATAATTACAGTTTGATAAATGATGTAGAGCATCGTTTGGTGGGAATATTAGGATGATTTTATGGACTATAAAAAGATTGATGTTTACATAAACAAACAAATAAACTCATAATTATTTGTTTTGTTTAACTATTTTAATTTTGAATTGTTTATTTACTTCATATTTTAGTCTAAATATTAGTATATTGCAATTATTCCAGAAAAATTATTGATCTATTAATTTAAAAGTATGTTTTACAACCACTTTTTATCATTTAAATTTGTGTACAGTTGGGGTTAATAGAAAATGATTATTTTTTAATTGTTCTTTTAAAAATCGTATCTGTTCGAATAAGTAAAATAGTATAACACACCGCACTATGATTAAAGAACATATTTAACATAAATTGTTTTATCATTTTTTGTCCAGTCCTAGGGTTTTTTTGAAAATTAAAAATCTTATTTAATATAATGTAGCAAATATAACATAATATGACAACAAATGACCTTAGGCCCCCTACTAAAAATTTTACATAGGTACTATAATTTAGTAGGATTTAAAGAATATCTATAATAAACAAGTTGTATAATAATTATAATAATCTGAATTTAAATTTTAAATGTAGTAAAATTGGAACTAATGTTTGTTCCTTATTAATTTAATGTTTCCATATGATGGGGGGGGGGTTATAACTTGTATTAATTAAGTTCAAAAGTTATCTAGGGAAGCTGTAGAAATTGATGGTTTACAAAAGTAAATATATTGTGTTTTACTATATATTTCACAGTGCTGTGGACAATTATTTAAAATAAATATAAACATTCAATAATTTCACCTACAAAGCGATTTAAAATCTTTTTCCCCTTTGGATTCACCCGTATTCTGAAAGTGGTCACAATATCCCTATGGACTACGACGGGTGCGCCTGTGAACCAGCCGCGCAGGAACGACTGTGAACTGGACGCCCGGCTCTTTGTTGAGCGCTAATTATCATCACACCTTATTGGAGGGAATCGCTGTGTTTAGCGGCACGCCCCTACACACTGTTCTTCTCTCTACGCTGGTTCGTTTTGTGTATCTTCCATTTTATTTTATAGTTTAAACCCACTCTGGGGGTTTTCATTGGGGTTTTTTGATAACAGAAATACTGGCTTGTAATAAGTTTCAGTGAACACAAGCATTTTTTCTGTCACGAAAATATTTTAATAAAATTGAATTGAACTAGTAAATGTTGTGGTCGGAATGGTTTTGATGAAGTAGTTTTAAGAACAAACAACAAAGAAACCACGATATCGTTGAGTAATAAAATAACTCCTCTTATACTCTTTTTCATCAAGCTTTCTTCATAACAGAAAATGTAAATTCCCAAGAACTTGAAGTAAATAACCAAGCAATTTTCCCCATTGATACTAAACAAACTATCAATTGTATTTTTATTGGGTAGAGACGTATTAATAAACTTGGAATAGTCTTAACAGCCAAGAGTAAGATCTTAATATTTTATTTATTCATTCTGACATAGACTAAAGAATGGACATGAAAAGTCATGTCAAGGTGTACCCCAAAAAACTGAACAACTTTGAAGCTCAATACAGTCTACAGTATTTAGGAATCCATAGATCATTTTTGAAACTAAGAGGAACTCATAAAGAGCTTTTCAACATGATTGCAAATCAGCTGATCCATTGATGTCGCTCAAAGCATAACCTATAGTACGGCAGTCGTCATGAACGTGCAAGAGAAAACTCAGTGTGTTGAATATCACATTGAAACAAAATCTAACACAATGTCATTTTTATGTCTGGGGTTTTGTCAAAGACCCAACTCGGTTACAAGTCAAAAATCTCCAATTTTGGAGAATTAAGATTGAAAATCAATGCAACCTTCAGAAACATCACCGATAAAATGCGACGTAGAGTGTGGTCAGAGTTAGATAACCTATTGACTGTCTTTTTGCCAAATATGGAAGCCATGTTGAAAATTTTAAATTAAACTTACATCCAGAAAAACTTTAGAATATGTGTGTTACTTTACATTTAATAAAATTTGTATAAGCCTGTAATTAAAATATTTACACGGCAACAAAGTTGTTCACTTTGGTTGGGACACCCTGTACATTAAATTAAAATACTGGCTAAGTACAGACGTTGAGGTAGGCCCTGGCAACAATGTGGATTCTTGTTCAAAATGTACACCCATTTGATTTTGTACTTATATAGATTTATGTGGTCAAGTAAGTGGAGTATTCAATCAAGCTAATGTCTTCTCCCCAAGGGTTTCACATCCCCTATATTGATATATCGGATATCCTAGCTAAAAGGGAGCTTTCCATCTACAAAGTGAATAAATCCAAACAAACTCTTATCCGAAACATCAGCTGGCGAATTATAGGATTTGGTCTTTGTCAGCATCCCCCCCGAACTGACAGACCCTCCAATACTTCTTCTCGAGCCCATTTAGTACGCAATTGACTTTGATTTAATCTTGGGAAAATAGTGAAGTACGATTGATACATGTTTCCGGGCCAATAAGTTTTCTTGAGTCCATTTCGAACACAATTGCTTTGATTTCGTAATTGGAAAGGTTTTGTACGATCAAATGAGCTTTACTAGTTAATTGTCCTTGAGTGAAATTATTGGTACGCCATTATCTGATTATGCCAATAGAAAATTGTAAGTACGACCGTAAGATGTTCCGGGCCAATACGTTTTCTTGAGTCCATTCAAAGACAATTGACTTTGATTTCGTCATTCGGAATTGTGAAGAATGATCGAAAAAGTTGTCTGCTAATGATTAGTATGATTAGTTATGATCATTTTGAATAGTTTCTGCTGTTGTTTCTTCAATAACCATCTCATTCACCAGTCACAGAAACCTTATGAGAGGTGCATGTAAATATCACGGAGTGTAGATTAAGTTACAAGCTAACCTTTCCCAAATCACAAAGATGGAATATTGCAAATAGTACACAATTGTATTAATCGACGAGAAATTATGAAATATTATCTATTGATTAATTTGTGTTGATCACTAAGTTATGACTGACTTGACGGGTATTTTCCCTAGTTCAAATTTATCGACAAAAATTACCGAATTAATATTACCATTGAAAGTAAAACAGTCCCTTTAGTACCCTAAATCTCAATGACTGCAACTGAGCAATTCAATTCCTAAAATTGAGAGTTAATTTATTGATTATGATAAAAAAATTATCAATAATTACTGTTAATTTTTCCAAATAATGTTTGGCATAGTTTTAGTTAATCAACATACTAGAAAAATCAACAATTTCTTCAGTAAGACAAACAAACTTCTGAACCAAAGGGAATGTTCATACCTTACCATTATGGTCAAAACTTTACAATACCTCACCACGATTGTGAAAAACTTCACAATAACTCTAAAGTTCTGGGAAAAATAGCTCAAGATTATGATGCAAAACATCGTAACAACTCTGAATTCTGGTGTAAAACTTTGTAATGCCTCACCATTATGGTGTAAATATTCATCATACCACATCATTTTGGTGCAAAACCTCATAATACTTATACTATTATGGTTCTTAACCAAAATACCTCACAATTGTAGTTCAAAATCGCTCGAAAAAAATAAACAACTTCAGCATTTAAGTGAAACCGATTTCAGTAAAGTAATGCTACAAATCCAATGGAAACCCTCACTAACAAAACCTAAACTGTTAATCTATGATCTTATCCGTGTACACCCTTCGCTCTGGAATCTAAGATAGACACTGTATGGGGAGTCTTCGGCTGCAACCTCCTTAATTGGTCTTATCTTGTTGGGAAGTCATAATGTCCGCTCAATACTCCTGCGTTTATGTCCAGCCACTTATTAACTACTTGAGCACCTTGTCGTGGA